CCCCACCCCGCGTCCCTTCCACTCTGCAGGCGCCGCAGAAGCCTGGGTTCTCTCCTATGTCCGCGGGGCCCCTACCCACCACTGGGCACCGCCGCCCCCGCCGGACCCCCGAGCCGCGCGGGGCCCTCTGGGCCCTCGCACCCTCCCTCCGGGGCTCACCCGCAGCTCCCTCGCCGCGTGGACCCGGAAACCAGGGAAGGTTTCCCACGAGGGGCTGGAGGCCGGGGAAGGACGAGCCGGGAGGAGTAGGCGGGGATGCACATGCGCAGAGGGAGGGAGCGGCGCGGCTGCGGCGGAGAGCTGGAGCTCTCTGCTCCTGGCAGCTTGGGCTGGGAAAGTGCCCGTATCCTCCTTAGAAGCGACGTCTCACTCCTAAGTTGTAAAAGCTAGTGGTAGTAGCCAGCGAACAGGGTTTTAGTGAAGCTTGGAGGCATTTGCGTTGTTAAAGCCCTTAGGATGTTGCCTAAATTGTTCAGTACCTCTCTCAAGATTCCCTTTCCCGATATACACCTGCCCACTCCTCGAGAAATCAGCTGGAGCGTAGCTGCCGAGTCTGCTGAGTTCAGAGCTTATCATCTGAGATATTCACTTCTGCCTGGAGCCAGCATTCTGTCCGTGCCCCCGACGCCTGCAGCAAAGCAGTGCGCCTTCTAGACACAAGCCAAGAGAAGGAAAAGTGTGCATGGATTTCAGTTATAAACGTGGGATCTGTGACCAGTATGGTTATCCTTTGGAATGAAGGAAGAAGCAAGCTAGCAATTCGGTATTCGTGCTAAAAGCCGTTGAAGTGTTCTTATACCAAACTCGAAGAAAGCACCCTCTCATCTTCCCGGGACCTTCCCCTATACGCTTCAGTCAATTTCCCCCAATGTGAACGTCTTGCAGAACTACGATACTTTCATCAAAACTAAGGAAGTAACTCGGGTGCAATTCTTTTAACTAAACTACAGAGTTTATTCAGATTTCGTCAGCTTTTCCACTAATGTCCTTTTACTGGTACAGGATCAATCCAACATACCACTGTACAGTCACCATCCGTCACTGTCCCCTCCAATCTGTAAGAGTTTTTTTGATCTTTCACGTCCTTCAGATGGCTGAAGAATAATGGTCAGGTATTGTGAAGAATGTCCCTGAATTTATGTTTGATGTTTTCTCCTGATTAGACTGAGGTTATATATTTGTAGGAAGATTCCCCCTGAGAGGATGTGCCCTACCTACGTATCAGGTAATAGAGGATGTAAACATGATGTGACATACTAACCGTGATTACTTGGTTAAGGTAGTGTCTGACAGGTTTCTCCACCATATGGTTAGGATTTTTCCCTTTTCAGTCTACAGTTAAAAGTGGGTTGGGGGCGCTTTGGTGACTCACTTGGTTAAGTGTCCGACTCTTGGTTTTAGCTCAGGTCATGATCTCACAGGTTGTGAGCTCAAGCCCTGCATCAGGCTCTGCGCTGTCAGGACAAGCCTGCTTGGGATTCTCTCTGTCTCTCTCTCTCCCTGTCTCTCTCTCTCTCTCTCTCTCTCTCTCTCTCTCTCTGGCCCTCCCCAGCTTGTTCTCCCTCTCTCTCTCTCTCTCAAATAAACTTTTAAAAAAGTGAGTTTCTAAGTCCAGTGCACACTCAGGGGCAGAGGAAATAAGCCCTACCTCGAATTTTTGCTCATATTTTCAAATATTTATTAGTAAATTTGAGGAGAGACCCTCTGAGGCTACACAAGTATACTGTTTGTATTTAGAGTTTTGGCCACTAATTTTAGCTTTCATTGCTGGATCTTGCCTGCAACCACTTTTACTACAGTGTTTTAAATGGTGACTTTTCTATTTTACTTCTTCTATATTTATTTATTGAGATTCTTCTGTAAAGCAAAAATTTTCATTTTCCCCATTTATTCCATCGTTTATTTCCGTCAGTACAGGCTCGTAGATATTTATTTTATTCTCAACCATTTTTACTCAACCCCACCTTTTGCACCCAACTCTGTGATGTGTTTTACATTTTATAATTTTACTCTTTTCAGAATGTCTGCAGAATTATCGAATATGTATCTTCTGGGTGTGGCTTTTTTCACTTGGCAAAATCCATTTAGGACTCATTTGTGCTGTTGCTCTTTTTCTTAAATTGGCTCCTTTCTCTCCACTCTTTTCATTTCATCCAATGCTATCATGTTATTATGTTGCTCAAATTGTCCCAGCTTTGGCATTGAGAGCTATCACACGTTAGCTTTGGGGTCCTTTTAACAAATCCGTATAACTTTTTAAAGCACTTCCTTACCTTTTGACACACAAGGTGCTCCCGGCTCCTTGAATTCTCCCTGTCCAGCCCTAGAATCAGGCCTTTCTCCAAGGAGCCCTGGTTCCTTTTATCGGAGAAATCGAGATCTGAGCTCTAGGTGTGCTCATTGGTGCTGGGTGAAATTGTTTCTAGACACTCTCAGCTGACACAGCTAAGAAATACATGTATGTACTAATCCATGCTAGTAATCTGTTTCACAGTATTCACTGTATCCATCCCAGTATGTTTCACAGTATCCACAGTATACATACACGTGACTGCCTACGTGAAAATTAGTAAGCTAACACTGATACCTTTTCGTTTAACTCGGTTCATTCTAGCCTTCCCACCCACCCCTTGCTTATTTTTAACTTCCCAGTTAGACACTGAGACACCTGCCTACCATTATGTACGATAGGTTTATTCTTTTTGCCTTAATGTACTTGTAGTTTCAGAATTGCTAACCCCTGTGAGAATCTACCAAACTAGAATGTTTATGTACATTTCTCTTTGTTTTGAGTCATAATGTATCCAGTCAAAATGTGGCTTTATGGAATTATTTAGGTCAGCTCCTATTTCCCCACTTTTTTTTTTTTAATTTTTTTTTTCAACGTTTATTTATTTTTGGGACAGAGAGAGACAGAGCATGAACGGGGGAGGGGCAGAGAGAGAGGAAGACACAGAATCGGAAACAGGCTCCAGGCTCTGAGCCATCAGCCCAGAGCCTGACGCGGGGCTCGAACTCACAGAGCGCGAGATCGTGACCTGGCTGAAGTCGGATACTTAACCGACTGCGCCACCCAGGCGCCCCAATTTCCCCACTTTTTAAACTCAGGTTGTGTGATAATACATTTGTAAAAACACAATCACTAGGGGGCGCCTGGGTGGCTCAGTCAGTTAAGCATCTGACTTCAGCTCAGATCCTGATCTCCCAGTTCATGAGTTTGAGCCCCGAGTCAGGCTCTGTGCTGACAGCTCAGAGCCTGGAGCCTGCCCCAGATTTCTGTGTTTTCGTCTCTCACCCCTCCCCTGTTCATGTGCGTTCTCTCTCTCTTTCAAAAATAAATTTAAAAACATTTTTAAAAATTTTTTTAAAAAGATTTATTTCTGTGGTAGTGTGAGGCACTAGTTCATTCCTCTTTTTAGTACTGAACAGTATTCCATTTATAGATGATCCACAGTTTATTCACCTATTGAAGGATAGCTGAGCTGTTACCTGTTTTGGTGATAATGAATAGATAAGTATAAACATTTGTGTTGATACTTTTGTGTTTGACATAGTTTGCAATTCACTTGGGTAAATATGCAGGAGTGAGATTACCAGATTGTATGGTAAGTATATGTTTAAATTTATAAGAAATTCTAAAACTTTTCCAAAATGTTTGTATGATTTTCATTCCCACCACCAATGTGTGAGAGTTCCTGTCTCTCAAAGTCCACAGCGGTGGCATTTTGTATTTTCAGTGTTTGTTTTGTTTTTCTATTCTAGTAGGGATGTGAAGGCCTTATGGCAGCTTAAATTTGCATTTCCTTATAAACTAATGTACATGTTTTCACATGTACATTAGGTGCTAGCCATGAATCTTCCTTAGGAACTTGTGACATCTTTTGCCCATTTGGTTTTCTAATGAGTTTTAATAGACTTTTTAAAATGTTGGTTTATTTTTGAGAGAGAGAATGAGTGCGAGCAGGGGAGGGGCAAAAAGAGAGAGGGGGGCGGAGGATCCGAAGAGGGCTCTGTGCTGACAGCAGCGAGCCTGATGCAGGGCTCCAACTCACAAACCATTAGATTGTGACCTGAGCCAAAGTTGGACGCTCAACCGACTGAGGCACCCAGGTGCCCCTTTTGTCCATTTTTAAAAAATTATTCTTTGTTTTTATTATTTTAGAGAGAGAGAGAGAGAGAGAGCACAAGCTGGGGAGAGGGGCAGAGAGAGAGAGAGACAGAGAGACAGAGAAAATCAATCAGACTCTATGCTTGGCACAGTGTCCAAACTGGGGCTCAATCCCACAACCCTGGGATTACAGTTTACTGACAGAACCACCCAGACTCCCCCTGCCTTTTGTCTATTAAAGATGAATTGTTTATTTTATTTTTGTTTTCAATAACTCTTTATTCTGATACAAATGCTTTGTCAGAAATGTGACTTGCACATATTTTTTTTTAACCAGTGCGTGGCCTATCTTTTCATTTTAACAGTATCTTTCTTAGAGCAAAAAGTTTCCATTTTCATAAAGTCCAGTTTATCTGAAGTTTTAGAATTTTTTTTAAAAATTTTTTTTTTTCAACGTTTATTTATTTTTGGGACAGAGAGAGACAGAGCATGAACGGGGGAGGGGCAGAGAGAGAGGGAGACACAGAATCGGAAACAGGCTCCAGGCTCTGAGCCATCAGCCCAGAGCCTGACGCGGGGCTCGAACTCATGGACCGCGAGATCGTGACCTGGCTGAAGTCGGACGCTTAACCGACTGCGCCACCCAGGCGCCCCAGTTTTAGAATTTTAAATTTATGTAGGTCTAAAATCCATTTCAAGTTAATTTATATACAAGCTGTGAAGTGTAGGTTGGCATTCTTTTTGTTTGTTTTTGGTTTTTGCATCTGAATATTTAAATTTTTTTTTTGACCTTTACTTTTGAGAGACAGAGAGAGACAGAGCACGAGCAGAGAGGAGCAGAGAGAGAGGGAGACACAGAATCCAAAGCAGACTCCAGGCTCTGAGCTGTCAACACAGAGCCCGACACAGGGCTCGAACTCAGGAACCTGTGTGAGATCATGACCTGAGCCGAAGTCAGACTTTTAACTGACTGAGCCACCCAGGTGCCCCTGCATATGAATGTTTTAATGTTCTAGCACCATTTGTTGAAAAGACTGTCCTTTCTACTGAGCTGGCTCTGTGCCTATGTCAGCAACCAAGTGGCCATGTTTA